GGAAGTGAGGAACAGAGAGGATGAGTTGGTTCCTGGTTGGCAGCAGGGCACTTCGCTTTGGCTGATAGGATGGCATTTTGAAACTATAACAAATTTGGTATGTCAAAGAAAACTACTTCTGAAAAAAGGAGAGAAGTAGAACAGGTGTGTTGAAAGAAGATGGGAGAAACCAGTTTTTCCTGAGAAGTAAAGTTTTTCTCAGCTCCCAACTTCAATTTCTTTGAGTTCTCCCTAAAAGTATAGAGAAGCCTAGCGATTTGTTCATGATCCTTCTACTGAATTGTCGGGGTGCTCTACTCCTAAAAATCCCACTCTACTGCCTCATGGAAATTTCATTACAGCATCGAATAAACTGTAACCATGAGAAATAAGGTGCTCAATTCTGCAACATTAAGTATTAAATATGCATCACTCTGTTGTTCTGCTATGCGGATGAGTGATAAAAATTTTTACTTAAATTTACATATCTTCATTTCAACTGATGGTTCTCAAATTATTTGAATTACACTGATTGGCAATTATTAATAAATCCTTCACAAAGGATCTTCTATTGTGATCATGTCCAAGGTGGGTGATTGCTACAAGCTAGTAAACCAGAGTTATAAGATTCTGGTACGGGAACATCCGTAAAAATGGGAAGTCGTCATGCTACAGCTCAGTCTTTGTAGTGAGACAGACTGGGCTGAAATGTTGGCGTGCTATTTGACCGCACTGAGACTCTAGGAATCTCATTTTTCTTATTTGTATAATAGGGATAAAAATGCCCATCTCTTGGGTTTAGTGCTAGGACTAAGCAAAATGGATGACATCTGGTATGGCTAGGATTAAGCAAAATGGATGACCTATAGTATGAGTTTCATAAATGAAAGCCAATATTATTTTTATGTTCAAAGCCAATGAAAAGTGTTGGCTATGAAAATCATCACATAACCGTACCAAGATTATTCCATCATGCCATCTTTGCATATCCATTTACACATAAGGAAATGTGGGCTCACAGGGGCCCAGACATTGAATGGTAGAATTGTCTTTCTTTTAGACAAAAAAGGAAGGTACGATATATACTTTTGATGAGTGTGTTGGTTTTCTATTGTTACTGAAACAGATTGTGTTCTTCAGGTCACAGCCCTGACGTTGTTCACTCTGAGGCTAAATCAAGGTGTCTGTAGAGTGGCATTTCTTTCTAAAGAATCTATAGGAAATTCTTTTTCTTGGCTGTTGGTAGAATTCAGTTCCTTGTGGTTGTAGGATTGAGACCCTTATTTCCTGTAAGGTAAGGACCACAGGTAGCTTCTACATGGCACCTGTGTTCCCTGGCTCAGTGACCCTTTAGTCCATCTTGAAAGCCAGCTGTGAGAGGTTGACTTCCTCTCAAGTTCCCACCCTCCACCTATTGTTGCATCTTTCTGAGTACGCTTCTGTCTTCCTCTTCCACTTCTAAAAACTTCTGTTGGATCCACCTGAACAATAAAAAGAAATCTTCCCATTTCCAGATCTGTACCTTAATCACATCGGGAATGTCTCTTTTACCACATAGAGTAACTTATTCACCCATTCTATGGATTAAGGCACAGACAACTTTGGGAGGGGAGGCTTTATTCTGCCTACCAGGTGAGAAACAGCGTACAAATGTACCTTCTAAATATAGAGTTGCTGTGTATGATTCATATTATGTTACCCTTTGCAAAATATATGAGGTGATATTAAAAATACCCACTTATACACACAGAAGGTCAACATGAGATCGTGCATTTTGGCTTCTACTTGCCCTGCTTGCTTCTCATCATTCTTGTTCCTCTTCTTTTCTAGAAAGAGAATGAATACAAAAACAATGGCCAGGCCATACATGACAATAAAACTCTGACACACATGAGAAGCCCAGGAAGCCAACCCATAACCTCTGCAGCAATCAGCCCAGAATACTCCGGGCTTGGTCAACAACCATCATCAGGGCTCTGTTTTTTTATTCCCCTTGCTCTCTTCTTCAATTCAGAACCAACAAGAGAAAGCCAAGTATGTTCCCCAAACCAATTACATTAGATGCTCTGCTTCTAGTTATCCCACCTGCAGCTTCCCTGTGCCCACAACCTCCAGTCCGAGGACCCTTTAAGCCTTCTCTTCTTTTGTTTTTACTATAAAGTTTTCCCTCTTCCCCACTGCCTTTGAGTATTGCCAAGTACTGGTGTGTGACTCCCTTGCAAACTCTAGATAAATAGACTGTCTTCTCATTTGACTAGTCTTCCTTTCCACAACTCCTTTGGTCTTTTGCTCATTTGTTTCTCCTCTTTCTCTTCCCAGATCTTTTCTCTTTGCCTTAGATGGATAATTTATATTCATCTTTTAAGGATTGGCTTAGATGTCACCAATAACAACAATAACAATAATAATTATTTATTACAATGATAGCTAACTGGTACTGAGCCCTCACCATATGCTAAGAACTGTTCTAAGCTTGTTCAATTTATCAACTCATTAAACTCTCATAATAATTAATTGAAGAAGGTTTCTATTATTACCCACATTTCACAGATGGGAAAAGATAATTCAGAGAAATCAAGGAACTTGTCCAAAGTCAGGAAGCTAGCAGGTAAAAGCGTTGGGATAGAATTTAGTTGACCTGGCACCATAGTTCACGCATGAAACCATTATCTTACATCACTTTCAGAACATGTTGTCAAATGCCCTGAATTTGGGGTGAGTACCCCTTATCATATGTTTAAATAGGACTCTTTACTAGTAATGCTGTGTTGTAATTATTGATGATTCTTATCTGTAGTCCCTTTTAATAAGCTCTTTGAGGACAAGGATGGTCCAGAGAGGTTTCTCTACCAATGTATATTAAAGGAAGACACAAAATGACTAACTGAATGAATGAGACATATGTAAAAGTCTGAATTATTATTTTTTAAATTAAACGATCCTAAGTTAAAAAAGTTCCCCTAGGCACACTTTCGATGCAGCGTAAGCCTACACATGACTTTACAATCTTTATTCAGGAAAAAGCCTCTTGAGGAAGCTTCTCTTTTCTAAGCTTAGTTTTCCACTGTTCTCATTTGGTTAATTAAATTTCTAAATATTAGTGGGGTACAGGTGTTTTTGCTGGATGGTTAAATTGTATCCTGTTGAAGTCAGGGTTTTAGTGTGCCTGTCACCACAGTAGTATGTATTCTTCCTGACGGGTACGTTTTTAGCCCTTACCCTCTCACTCGTCCCCTGTTCTCAATTTCTAATATCTTTTACATCACCTTATGACTGTGTCTACCCATTTTTTCATTTCTACTTATTACTGAGAATATGTGGTGTTTGTCCAATCCTGAGATACTTTGCTTAGGACAATGGTTTCCTTTCTTTAAACGGCTGTGTAGTACTCCCTGCCACGTATATAACAAGTTTGCTTCATCTACTCATCAGCTGATAGGCACTTAGGTTGATTCCATGTCTTTGAAATTGTGAATTGTGCTGCAGTAAACATTTAGGTGCAGGTGTTTTTTCGTGCAATGACTTCTTTTCCTTTGGGTAGATACTCAGAAGTAGGATTGGTGGATTATATGATAGATTTACTTTCAGGTCTTTGAGGAATCTCCATATTGTTTTTCTATAGAGCTTGTACTAATTTAAGCCCCATGAATAGTATATAAGCATTCCTTTTTTTTTTTTGTTAACCTCATACACACTAACTTTTTAAAAAAAATTTTGAAAGTGGGCCCTATGAGGGAGGGATGAGGAGGTAGCTCACTGTGTTTTTAATTTGCATTTCCCTGATGATTAGTGATATTGAGCATTTTTGTATCAGTCTTTTGTCTATTTCCTTTTGAAAGAAAACCTATTCATGTCTTTTGCCCACTTCTTCATGGGGTTATTTGCTTTTTTCTCATTGTTTTGTTTGAGTTCTTTAAAGATTCTGAATATTGGTATTTCGTTGGATGTATAGCTTGTGAATATTTTCCCCTATTATCTATTTACTCTGTTGGTTATTTCCTTTTCTGTGCAGAAACTTTTTAATTTCATTAAGTCTGATCATACTCATTTTAAATACAAAAACACATGAATGACAAACATTAGTCTCTCCCCAGAAAGTCTCTTCTAAGTTATGAGTCATCTTTAGGTTCGACCTAATATCTTCTTGGTTTTTGTTTCTGAAGCAGGGCATCTTTAAATTAATTAATAATATTAATTTTAACTTTAATTTTATCAATTTTAACTCTGCTATCATTCTAAAATTGATAACTCTTACAAATATGCAGTCCAGGCAGAATTGGCTGAGATCCAGCTGTGGCTATGTTTTTCCCTAGTCTAAGTTGGAATTTTAAAACAAATGCCCAGCTGAGTACTCTTAATGTTCCAAGCCTCTTCCTAGCTCTCTTTGTTTCCCATCTTCTGGGATAGAGGCTGAGCTTATTATGTTCATGCTCAGTGGGTTTCTTTTCCTGGGCTTGTGAGACTGGCAGATCTGGAAAAGCATTCAGTAGTCATCTGAATCAATTCCTCTACTTTATATTTAATCTAGTGGAGACCTATTCATTCATTCAACTGATATTGATCTATAAGATTTCTTTTATGATTTTGGGATTTGGGGACCCAACCATCAGCTAGATCAATAACACCCATATTATAGTGGGACTGCATTCTAATGGAGGTAAGAGAAAAATGAGCATACACAAAAATAAATAGATTTTAAAAGTGTGAGAATAATGCAGATTTAGGAAATAATGACTTGCCCAAATATCCGTTTCAGGACATCTACCTTTCAATTGTACGGCTCCATCATGCTTTTCCTCCTTGATCAGCCAGTCTTCTTTGGAATTCTTCATGTTTTCCCTTATCCTTTCATTGATTACATCTAGGACATAATAACCCTGTTTCAAGTAAAAGTTATTTAGGACATTATTATTGATCTTTTTAAAAATAAGAATAAATTATATTCTTAAGAATACTAAGAATAATTATTAATAAGAATAATAAGAATAACTTTTCATACTTCCTATTTTTTTTCCTCCTAGGAATTGACTATTACAACAAGATCATTGATGACTTGTTAACAGAAGGAGTTACTCCCATAGTGACACTCTACCACTTTGATTTGCCTCAGGCTTTAGAAGACCAAGGTGGCTGGTTGTCAGAGGCAATCATTGAATGCTTTGACAAATATGCTCAGTTCTGCTTCAGTACCTTTGGGGATCGAGTCAAGCACTGGATCACCATGAATGAGCCTAACCTGTTTGCCCTGATAGCATATGAGCTAGGCCGATTTCCTCCTGGTGTACCTCACATTGGGACTGGAGGTTATCAGGCAGCTCATAATTTAATTAGGGCTCATGCCAGAGCCTGGCACAGCTATGATTCTTTATTCCGAAAAGAACAAAAGGGTATGGTGAGCCTATCGTTTTTTGCTGGCTGGTTGGAACCAGCAGATCCCATGTCAGTGTCTGACCAGGAAGCTGTTAAAAGAGCCATCAGTTTCCACTTGGATTTCTTTGCTAAACCCATATTTATTGATGGAGATTACCCAGAAGTTGTCAAGTCCCAGGTTGCCTCCATGAGTAAAAGGCAAGGCTATGTATCTTCAAGGCTTCCAGAATTTACAGAAGAAGAGCAGAGCATGATCAAAGGCACCGCAGACTTCTTTGCCGTGCAGTATTATACTTCTCGCTTAGTCCAGCACCAGGAAAACAAGACAGGTGAACTAGGTGTCCTCCGGGATATGGAGATTGAAATTTTTCCAGATCCATCTTGGAAACGTCTGGATTGGATCTCCGTGGTACCATGGGGATTACGTAAACTCCTGAAATATATAAAGGTAAATGCATGATTTCTTTTGTGCTTATGTGCAATATAAATACGTGAAGGCAGGCATATCTATGTGTATATATGAACTTGGAAAAGAATTATTTTAGGTGACAGCATGTACCTTTGCTGGCCTGGGAAGGGAAGATTAGGATTTTAGTTGGTGAGCAGGTACGTGGCCAGTGCCAGTAAAAGGCTTCAAAAACTGGTCAAAATTAGGATTTGTTGTCAGTGTCAGTGGTGGCTACAGGTGTGGCTTGAACATAATTTTTTTAGGCTGGTGTTGGGACTATGATTATTAAAAGATGTTTAAAGAATTGAGATAGGTGGATTGTTTTGGTGTCTCTACTGTGCTGAGTGGTGTCTGGGTAGCTGAAATTAAAATTTCAAGTATAGGTTTATAGGACTCCCCCTGTGGGGGATACAGAATGTAGCTGCTGGCAGGTCCCAGGGGTTAAGGAGCAGTGACAATCAGCAGATGCTGATGAACAAAAAACATTTCTGTCTTCTCAGTATAAGATGAGTCATTTGACTCTCTTCACGGACATTTGCTCAGTTTAGCTTTTTCATTGTCAGTCATGGAAGGTCAGTGCGTGGGAAATTAAGTTAATAGGGTCAGTACGATTTGACGAAAACTAGTTTGGGGGTTGTAGCTTAGAGAAGATAGAGGGCAATGTACCTGATTTTATGAGTTGTTTTTTTTTTTTTAAACATCCATTTAGACTAAAACTTCTGTTCTTCTTTTCTAGGATACCTATAATGACCCTATAATTTACATCACTGAGAATGGGTTTCCCCAGCGTGACCCTGTGTCTCTTGATGACACTCACCGCTGGAATTATTTCAGACAGACATTTCAGGAAGTGTTTAAAGGTACCATTTGAAATCACGAAAGATCAGTTGTACAAACTTAATGTAATTTGCCCATGGGCTTATTTGTGTTAGGCAAAAGCAATGATTTTTGAAAGATGACGTTCATGTAGATTGATGTAAAGCTGTGCCATTAGGAGTGGGGAGAAAAGGTGTTTAGGGAAAAGGAAGGAGAGGATTTGGGCCTAACCTTCAACCTCATGGAGCTGAATCAAGTAAAAAGCGACTATCTTCAACATTTTATGACTCCCAGGTGAAGGTGACAAGAACAGGAGTGGTGGCTGTTGAGAAAGAATATTAGTTATTACAGGAAAGATTAGCACTGATTAGTTATATCATGCTTATTTGCCTATTTTAATATCCAACCAAGAAATGAAGTGACATAATTTTTAAAGGACCAAATTAAAGCATTTGTGCAATATACTTTAAAATGGTATGAGTTGAGGCAGCGCCTGTGGCTCAGAGGAGTAGGGTGCCAGCCCCATATGCTAGAGGTGGTGGGTTCAAACCCAGCCCCGGCCAAAAACTGCAAAAAAAAAAAAAAAAAAAAAAAAAGACATGAGTCTCCCATCAATATATGTGGTATTTATGCTATAACCAAGCAGCCCAGTTAGAAGCCACTTTCTGTCATACAGACTATGTGGGTTGTGATTCAAGGTAATATTATTATTCTGGTACTTCTTTTCCCTCCACAAAATTCTGTTCATATTGAAAACAAATATGAGTAATCTTTAACTGGTAATACAGATTTTTAGACCAGTTAGCCCCACTCCATCTCTTTCCCTGTAGCTAACTCTCGGAACAGAGTTTATTGCTTCCTAAATTTAATTCTTTCTTCCTAAAAAGGAATCATGTCATAGTAACCAAATCTAATGCAACACAAAATTTTCAATTCTCTTATTTTACCACAATAGCCACACTTAGCTCTTATCATTCCCTTTGGAAGACTGTGGAACTATTCTTTCCAAAATTATCCAGTATTACACTGGAAGAAGACAGAAAAAGTTCAGGAAAGTGATGCTAAGTATTCTCTTTTCAAAACCTGAAGTATGTTGGCAGGGTCCTTTACTCAGGCCTGCAGCTTATTGGTAGAGAGCAATTAGGTCTCTACAACTTGACCCAGTTGAATTAATTCTGTTATATTATACATAAAATAGATTCTTCTTCTGGTTGGGAATCTGCCTTCTGGTAAGAGAAGAAAATTTCTAGTTTTCTGAGATTCCTCCACACTTTTTTTCTATAAATGGGTCCTGTTTTGGGTTTAGCTAGAATTATTTCTGGGCTTCATCTCGAAGAACAGTTAGGCTAGTTACTAGTAGCCAGATGCGTGGATGGACAAAGGGAACACACAGGACTTGTCTAAAATTCTTTTGTGTATTTTTGGAGCAAGAGGGATAAATAGAAATTGGGTTTTTTTTAAAATGTTTTTATTTCAGGCTCCTTTATTCCATGAATATTTACAGAACATCAACTATAGACAAAACATTGACATAATCATTGAAGATAATATTGGGATAAATATATCAATTTTATGAGGAAACAAAAGCATTATCTACAAATCAATTATAAGTGTACTCATTACCACCACACCTAGTAAAGTTGAAGATCCTAGCTAGTACAATTACGATAACTTAAAAATCCCAATGGTCTGTCAAAAAAAAAAAAATACAAATTTCATTACTTCCAAGTTACCAAGTTACTTGCAAGTTACCAAAAACAATAGAAAAATTCAGCAATGTAGCTAACTTCAAAATAACTATACAAAATCAATTATATTCCTATATAAAAAAGAATTACAAAATAGTATTAGAAAAATAAAGATAGCATTGTTATCAGCAACCAAAATAGAAAGCTCTTGTTAAAGCTATATGGATAGGTTTGTTTTGTTTTTTTGTTTTGTTTATTCCCTGCTTGGTGCACTTGGTCCAAATCAGGTAATGTCATTTCATTGCTTCTTGAGACATTTTAAGTACTTCGTACCATCCCTTAGATCTTTAATCCTAAAAACTCAACGGTGGAGCCACGAAGTAAGGTGATTCCAACATAGAAAAGTAACAGAAGGTAAGAGTAAAAAGCGTGAAAATAATTTGGGACAGGAGTGGAGAGTAGGGTTAAGATGCCCAATTCTGTTTTGCAGTTTGTTGACTTTCTATTGTGTCTTTAAGTTATGTGACAGAAGACATGTTATATATTTAAAATATTAATTGTTTACAACATTCATGTTCTATTCTGAATCTTAACAGTACACTATGTTGGCTGGCCACAGTGGCTCATGCCTGTAATCCTAGCACCTAGGTGGATTGCTTGAGCTCAGGAGTTTGAGACCAGCCTGATCAAAAGGGAGACCTCCTCTGTACTAAAAATAGAAAAAAACCCCAAAATATGTGAGCATGGTAGTGGGTGCCTGTAGTCCCAGGTACTCAGCAGGTTGAGGCAAAAGGATGTCCTGAGCCCAAGAAGTTGAGGTTTCTATGAACTATGATGACTGATGATGCCACAACACTCTACCTGGGGCTACAGAGTGAGACTCTGTCTCAGAAATAAACAAACAAAAATACCTTAATAGACTATAGTCATTGAAATTGACACATGATGCTATTTTTGTTTTGACTTTTTAAAAAAGTAGGCTTTTAAAATGGGTACAAGCCTATATATTGAGAAAAATGAACCCTAAGAAGTATATGTATATTGAACTGTGTATACTTTTCCTTGTGGATACCAATTATTTTCTCTGTGTTGATACTCTTTTTTCTAGTAACCAATCCCCTTTCTGCTGTGAAATATCCACCTCTACCTAGTGAAATACTTCCCATGGGGGAAGCAATGCAGAAAGAATCAAGTCCTTCTCCTTGTCAGCTGAGAACTGGTTGGTCCAGACGTAGGCATGTGACATGAGCTGGGCCAATCCCAGTTCTTCCCTGGGATTTAGAACATGGACAAATCAGTTTGTTAGTTTCTTAGTGTGGGATAAGTACATGCACTTTTATTTATTTTTAAATTATTGATTTATTGATTGATTGATTTTTTGTTGTTGCAGTTTTGGCCGGGGTGGGGTTTGAACTTGCAGCCCTCAGTACATGGGACCGGTGCCCTAATCCCTGAGCCACAGGTGCTCCCCCATGCACCTTTATAATTCATTGCTATTATGTTCTACCCTATAAACTTAGAGGAGTAGTGAGGGGGGAGATATTCACATACTAAGAAGTGTGGGGACAAAAACCAGGCAGCACTTTCTCACGGCACCTGAGCCTCTGGTTTTAGTTTTTCTTAAGATCCAACTGTATCTCTGTCCCTGACAGCCATTACTCTTATATCTACTGATGTGCTCTTTCTGCTTAACCATATTCTAATTGGACTTTTATCACTTGGGAGAAAAGAGTTTTAATTGATATCATCAGCTTTTTGATAGGGATCATTACTCCTACTTTACCGATGAGGAAACTGAGTTTCAAAGATGCTCAGTTATGTACTCACCATCACAAATTTATAAATAGCATTTCTGGAAACAAAGAAAAATATGTGTGCATTCTTGTTGCTGTTATTTGTTTTTCGTGTTAGAGATGACCTACCAGTTCAGGGCTGTCTGAGCCAAAGAGCTTGTTTGTCTCAGCACACGGAACTTTTCCCTTATATTTGGTATTGTGGACTTACATACATATTTCTAAGTGCTTCATGATGTCTTCGAAAGAGCCAACAGGTCCTATGATGTTGGGCAGAGCTCAGCCACAATCCTGTCCCACTTCTCAGAACAGCAGAGCTGAATTTACTAACCAATTTTCTGAGACTCCTCCACGTTAGCACTGATGATCTTGGCCGGCAGGAACTTCACTAGTAAGGAGCACCCTGTAAGCAATTAAAAATAACAGACCAACCACGTTTGTGGGAAGTGTGGTGGGTGACATCTCACCCCAAACTGAGGGAGTCAGATGGATGTTGGCTTCGTGATCCCCACAAACAAAGCCTGGTCTCCAATATCTCACATAAGGCCCGGCAGATAAGGACACTGTAATTGAACCAATGGTCTCTACTTGGAGGTCTTACTGCTCCCTTCAGGTAAAATCTCACAGCAACTTAGTTGAGCAGTGAAAAGTCATCCTTCTGTTTTCTTTTGGGAAAGGAGAAATGAAAGACAGGACAAATGCCATCTTAATTTATTAAAAAAGAGAGAAATCAGCTAGTCCCTTTTAAATCACTGCATTCTTTAATTGTCCATAGGTGCCTCCAAATAAATTATATTTTAATTAACTTAGATATAGATAGGGGTAAAAGGACATCTAAAACTTGAAACAACCTATAGCTAGACTCGCATTTCAGCTTTGCAAATAATTCAATGAGGGGCTTTTGGTAAATTCTCATCCTATGAAAAAGGGGATGATACTTTTCTTTCCAGGTTGTTATAAAGATTGCATTTAATGAGCTTTTGAGTGACCCTCACCCCTCGCCATTACCCAGCATATAGTATTACAACCATCACCCGTAAAAACATACTTACTACCACAAGATGTTTTTCCTTGTCTTTGGAAAAAATGTCTTTCAAGAGTTATTTTTCTGTTCGTCTCCCCCTCCCTCTAAGTTATAACAAAATATCTCCCCACATCTGCCGGTTTCCCCATCATTCTTTTTGGTGAGCCACGGGGTGTGTGTTGTAACATTGGTCCTCCAGCTAGTTCCAGTCTGAATTATGCGGCGGAGAAACCAACAATTCCATCCATTATTTCCCCCAGAGAGGAGACGAGATTAGGGGAAAAGTCATTGACAACATAAACAGTTGTCAAGCAACTGGGACTTGCTCTGCCACATGAATCTTTGTATAAATTTGGGCTTAGGTGATCTTCAAATAGTTCCCCTTTTCTCACATCATAGGTATCTTTATCATAGTCATAAAATTTATGCTGGTTCTTCATACTCCAGAGCCAGTGGGCCACTATGAGTTTGTATGTAAAGGCACACACGTAGATACCTCTATAATTTAAACGTTATTATGTAGGGCAGGGAGTGGGTGG